ACATGCTCTACATCACTGTGGTGCAAACTGGAGCATTGGGGGCTTTTGGCTCCTGATAATATGCCTTTTCTCCATATAGTCCTGACTCTGGTGCTCAGACACAGCATTTAATTAGTGTTTCAACATCATTTAAATATTTCCACATCGAGTTCAATAAAGATCAAGCAGCTGAATTTTGGGACAAGTGACTGTATCATCAATGATATCTCCAGAGACATCTTATTTGAAGGTTAACAATTTAAGCAGAGGAACTTTAAAATTTCTTAATTGTTGTAAATCCTTCTGGAGCTGCAAAATCAGTCCTGTGAACAAGTGACTAGCTCCTTTGATCTTAATGAACTAAGATGGTTTTTCTGCACCACAGCAGCTGGTTGGGTCTTGAGCTGCAGTTTCCAAGATCACAGAGGTCACCTCCTTCTAAACAATTGTTCATGTAGGGTAAATTGTAATTACCCTGTACATAATTAGCTATCAACTCAACAGTTAGAACAACTTCATCGCCTTTTAAAGAATAATGCAAATAAAATTTTTTGAATGGGGATCTTATAGATTTTTATGTCACTCTCAAAGAAGGAAAAGATGCAGAATACACTTGTGAACAACTTGCCTACGGTTACCTTACCTATCATGTTTAAAGGATCATAACATGGCCTGTAATCAATGACGAAGAATAGGGGAGTGGGGAAGAGAAAGAAAACTTAACAGCACACCTAACACAATTACCCAGGAATCAAGGATTCTAGAACCTAGTGCATGGTTACTAAATGCAGTTCAATTTTCCTTTAACTTCAGACCTTAAATAGTTTTTATGGCTTGTTTTTAACTCAGTTCTGTTTGGAGAAGGAGTCTTTAATAATCCATTTCAAGATGAATGGATTTCAGAAATCTCTAAACCTCAGAAAAAAGGAAGATTACCAAGACATCCTTAAATGGAACCTCTCTTGTTTCTGCGAACAACTTTGGGCTTTATCTTTCAAGTAGTTGATGATTAGGAAGGAGAAGAAACCACATATAGGAAAGCATTTGACCACCTCATAAGTCATTTTTTTTAAAAAATTAAGACTTACATTTCTGCTTTCATGATGCTATAAGTTATAACATTTTAGAAATCTTTTCAGCATTCATCAAGGACTTTAGTTGTTGCCAGTGAAATCCCTCCCCTTCCATCTTGTAATGTCTGCAAGGAATTAGCCTGCTCTCTAATGTTGGCTTTCTACAAGCCTGGGGATTTGTTTCTAAATCTTTTGAGCTATGCCCCTGTTCATCCTCCACTACTCAACAGATAGAGTTCTAGAAGGTCTTGAAGTGGCAATCTTAAGTATTGTCAAGGGGCTAAGGCTGTAGCTCAGTGGTAACATGTTCATCGAGCATTTGTAAGGCTCTTGCTTCCAACATTTCCAGCTCTCAATACCCTTCAAGTGATGCTGAAGAGCTCGAGCTCCAGCCTCCTCAACTGTGGCATGTTGTAACAGCACAAACACCTACTGGCTGGGGAACTTCGAGCTAGACAGCTTAACTCCTCAGCCTTATTTTTGGTATCTGATAAACTAGCAAGAAATGCACTGTCATGGAATTGTGATAGGGTCAGGAAAGAAAACACATAGAAAGTATTTAGCCTAATACCTTATGTTTTAATCAGCATGCTTTAATAACTGACCTAACAAGGGCAACCAGAAATGGTATACACCAGTCAATGGTTTGTAAACATTCAGACTTTGCTGTTTCCCTGATCCTGACCTGAGGAGGCTTGGGCATTTCCATGCGTTAGAAGCACTGAGGAATTTGCTATAGCTGTGCTCATATCAGCAACATACATTCACTCTCGGGGCTTCCTCCTCTCTTCATAATCTTCCTCAATGAGCACACAATGAGTGTCAGAATCCCGGTGAGTCCCAAAGACTGACTTTCAGTTCAGCATTCATTCTGCTCTCAGCTTTATTAATCTTTTTAAGTTGTAGAACTTTAACACAGGCCTTAATACTATAGAAAGAAACACATTTCTTTCATTACATATGAAAAGGAATGACAAATTTCCTTGAAGAAGTGAATTAATAAATGATTGTTTAAGGCAATTCTTTTCAAATGTCTTAGACAAAGCAAAGGGAAGTAAGATTCTACTTCTGGAGAAGTGCCCCCCTCTGGTTACTTGCCTCTCCCTGTTCCTCTTACCTACTAAGAGCCCACACATTGCTCCTTGGAAAGTATCCGTTTCATACATTAATTATGTTCTCTGAAATGACACATGTTACAGAGGCTTCAGGAGAGTAGATCATGAAGTAGAAGGCCATTCCAGTTCTTTCTGAGAAATGAGAGCACCACTCCAAATGGTTATTCTCTGGAATCATTTATTTAGAAAACACAACATCTTCATAATAAAGCAAGCAAAACAAATGCTAAGTCCACCACTAACCTTGATTATGTTGTCAGGAAGAATGGCTCCTTAATTGTATCAAGCATGAAAAAGCAGTTAAGGTGAACATTTTCAATTTTCCACCCTGGTTTATTCAAAATGAGTTTTCTTTATTTGTTTTATCTTGCTGACACAGTGGCTGGTACTCTCCTCTGGGTCACCAATCAAGGTGATGGCAGGAAGGCAGTTCCCAGGCTGTCCTCAGAGGCTCTGCTGTCCTAAAGGGTGGCCATGGAAACCCAGCAGCTGCATGAGCAGGAAAAACATCACAGGAATTTTCTCCAACAGGAGACAGAACAATATCTACCTCACATTACCACTCTCTGTGCTCGAACACAAAGAAAAGCAAAATTGGAGAAAACCTACTTAGAAGAAAAAAGAATAGCTGTAACATATTTCTCAAAAAGAATCACCACCTGAGAACCTTGTCTCTCATAATCTCCCTGATTTTCCATTAAATGAATTTTTACACTATTGTTCCCCCCACACACACTTTGTGGATGCTTCAAATCCAGCTGAAACATTAACATAGGAAGCCGCACGCATTCTCCACCTTGGGCTCTTCTCACAACTGTTCCATCTTCAGTTGTTTATCTCAGTCCCTCCTCCTCCCCACACCCACATTTCACAGCTCTATTGAGTGTGACTCTCCTTTCTGCTGAGGCTACCAGAAGTCTTTGACCTTCACGCACTAGTTACCAGAACAGTCCTTCGGTTGTATTTTTTTGCCGAGGTAGTCTACAACGGCCCACATCAGTTTGCACTGTGCTACAGGACTAACCTCCTTTGAGTCAAAGCTTTTGTTATCTTACTTGGTTCTGCAGATATATAGCCATTGCTGTGTCCTTCGGTATTCATGTCTTTCCACCTTTGAATACATACCAATCCAGATGTGTTTCTCTCCCAACTTGTTGTGTCTTCCATTGGCTTCCTTCCATTTGTTACTGCTTATGTGCATGTGTATATGCTTGTTCTCTGCTTTCTTTCTAGGGACTGTTTAGATGTAGCTTTGTTAGTTTCTTAATTTTCTTACATGCATGAAAAATGCCATTTCTTTTGTAGGAAACAGTATTTAAGACCCAGCTTTAAACTTCCTTTAAAATAAGGTTTTTTTCAGGGCAATGTAAAAGCTCCAACTAAATTTTAGGTTGGCAGGGAACAAGCCATGTGGGACACTCCTGTGGTGACTATGCTGAGCATCTTCCTCATACCAGGTCAGCATTTGTCATTATGCTCCTTATTGAAGCATGAGGTTCTATCTGTACTGAAATTAAGCCATTCTTACATAGATGCATAGTTCTTTGGAGAACAGTTGTAAATAAATATCTATTTGATTAAACCATAGGAGACTTTATTTTAAATATAAGTGCTCTTCATGGGTTAAAATATCAAACATTTTCTTCTGTGTATGAATTAATGAGTACAATAGTCGAGCAAAAAGTGAGGCAGATGAAGATGTCTTCCTGAGTAAGCTCTATTCAGTCTCCAAGAAAGGATAAAGAGAGGGGAGAAACAATTATGTTCAACTACTTGTTGAGCATCTCTTCTGAGAAAACTCAAGAACTGGGTATCTTCTGTAATGGCTGGGCATAGAACTTTCTGGAGACTCATTCATGACCACATCTCAACGGGTGGCCAAGCTGAGTTCAGCATTTGATCTACCTGAGACTTGACTTCCTCACAGCATGGTAGCCCTGGGGTTGTCAGACAGCTCCAAAGTAGACTGTGTAAAAGACAATACACATATTCCATTTTAAGGGCCCACCTCAGTAGTCACTCAGCATCAACTATGCCATACTCCAATAGTCAAAGCATTAAAAAAAAGTCTTTCTTCACTCAGGTGAGGGGAACCATAAAACTCTGTTCTCAATGGTTGGTGCATCAAAGAATTTAGCTAATTTAAAAATACACTGCACTTTCTGACTCTAAAATTCAAATCGCTCACCATAGCCTGGTATATACTATATATGGCATATAGCCTGGTTAAGTACTAGATTATAATAAAGGTGCTAGTATTAATGTCTGCAGGTGTTTTCATTCCCTCCCTTACATTTCCATTATTACATGTTGTACAATACCTTCCACATTTCATTTCCCTTGGAACATTTACCATGTGATTCTACATGGAAATGAGGTCATTGTCGTTGTAGTTAAAGATGCCTGGTCTAAACCATCCCACGCTCAGGAGGAGCTTTGAATATATTTACTAATACCAAAAGCATCATGTCTCCTGTGTTTCACTGCAAAGTTGCTTCATGAATTCAGTAACACAAAACTGAAATTAAAAAAAAAAAAAAACAAAGTACAGAGTTCCTAGTGGTGTGATATGTGTAATAATACCAAATTCTATCAACCCAAGTCACCTCTTAAATGTTTTATTGGGATTATCTTGTACAACAAGAAAAGTTGAGGCAGATGAAGACATCAAGCAAAACGTGAGGCAGATGAAAATGTCTGCCTGAGTAAGCTCTATTCAGTCTCCAAAGAAGGGTGAAGAGAGGGGAGAAACAATTATGCTGCTACTTGAGATGAGCCACTCAGCCCAGGCAGCCAGAGTCTGAGCACAGCTATCTGTGCTCTCAAGACACTGAACAAAAGAAAGAATAGGCTGCGCAGAAAGACAAGGCCAATTATATTAGACATTTCTATTTAAAAACTCTGCCTTAGAAGCTGAAAGATTCAAAAAATAAATATGAACGAATGCAATGAGTGATGAATAATAATCCACAAGCAAATCTTAAAACTGAAAACAATTCACATTTTGACTTCCTAAGACTTTGCAACCTGCCGAAGGCTACTCCTCCTTTGTGGCTTGAAGGATGTTGCTTTCATTCCCTTCTCCCAACTCTCATACAGCTCTCTCTACCCCTTATGACTACGGAGTCCAGAAATGTGGAGCATCCCACTGGTGCCTCCTCCTGCTTATTTTTACATCTCATTTACATTTCTAATTCCCCAAGGCTTAAAAAAGAGATGCCACAGAAAAGCTGAATTGAGAGAGTCAAAGTGAATAGTAAAAAGAGGTTCTAGATCCTCCTCCCCACCACAAGAACTAGGTCCGTTGTTACCCACTGCCCGAGATCTTCAAGCTACGTGTCTGCGAGTTCCCATTTGGACTTTTGCAATCAGAGATTACAGCAATGTCTTCAAACTGGAGGGCTACTCCATCTTGGTATTGCCACCCAGTATATGCAAGATACTGGCAGCATTATCATCATGCAATGCTTTGGATGTGAAGCCACCATAACGCCTACAGAAAGTTCAGGGATTCCTATTTCACTTCCCCATGGTTCTTCCCTCATGGAGTTCTTCCCTGGAAATCTCTTGCTTATGAGGCTTGGCATCCTGGGAACTCTCAAGGCCAGTACATGGCACAGCAGGAGTCTCCCTACAGTGTTTCCCATCTCTAAAGCCCTGGCTAGCCTCTGCATAGCAGCAATAGAACCCAGGCATCCACAAGAGAAAACGAAGCACTGTGTGAAGAGGAAGAGCTGGAGTCTGATTCAGATGATGAAGTGGAGTGCGACCTGAGCAATATGGAAATCACCGAGGAGCTCCGCCAGTACTTTGAACAGACTGAGAAGCACAGAGAAGAGAGCCGGTGACAGCAGCAGCTGGATGCGGAGCGCCTGAATGACTACGTGAATGCGGACCACCGGCTGTACTTCAACCACCACAGGTCAGTGGAGCCCCCATCTGAGAAGCCCTGGGAGCGGCGCCAAGCAGAGATGAAGCGCTTGTATGCGAACAGTGCTGCCAAGATCCTGGCCATGGAGGCTGCTATGCAGATGAGCTTTGACAAGCAGTGTGACAGAAAGCAGCCGAAGTACTGGCCTGTCATTCCCCTAAAGTTCTGAGTCCTGGGCACCAGGACCCTAGGCAATGCCTCACAGTTCCTAGCCTTTCCCTCTTTATCTCTCCTGTACATTTTTTTCAGAGAAAAAGGCCTGTATACCAATATGGTGGATACCGTCTGTCAGCCACTTATAATTCTGTCAACAGTACTGTTGCCACCACAAGGAATGTTCACTTGACATAAAGTGATAATTGTATGTATTGGACTGGCTCTCGATTTCCTCTGTAACAGTCCAGTTCATTGAAATTATTGCCTAGAGATACTGCCTATTGTTTTGCATTTTTAATTTCCTTCTTCACCCTGTCCTCAATGTCATAAAAGCCTTAAGCCACATGTCATTTGTTGCTACATTTTTTTAGACCAGATTTTATACAGCACATGCTTGCTACAAATTCTTAAATCTCCCTGCTTCCACTTCCCAGATGCTAGCTTATAGGTTTGCACCGCCCACACTGGGCTTCTGTCCATATATTTTCTCAGACTGTAGATCTTTGGATCCCTCTGAAAACAATGCAAGTGAACAGTAAGACAAGTGACACTTGTTACTCAGCTAGGTGTCAGCCCATATGCTGTATAAAAGACCTGAGAGTAAATATTCTGGGCTTGGCAGGCCATGTTGTCTGTGTCCTAACTGCCTGACCCTGTCTTCATAGCATAAAAACAGCCATTGTTACTGAATAAACAAATGAATGTGACTGTGTTTCAATAAAACTTCATTTAAAACAAAAACCAAAACAAAACAAAAAAACAAAAAAAGAGGTTCTATTACAGCTCTTGCCTTTGCCTCAAATTTGTGACAAACACTCATACAATTTGAAGTTCCTGACCTCATTTTCTTAAAAATTATAACAAAACCACAATGTGAGTTTTTTTTAAGCAACTTTGCAACTCTATTCTTCATAAATCACATGATAAAGTATCTTAAATGGAGAAATTTTGTTTTAAAGCAGGATGGGAAAGAGTCTATAAAAAGCCGCCAGAGCTAAGACACAAAAGGTATAGGTGATAATCAGATATTTAGAATACAGTTTTGCATTGAGAGGCTCCTTCTTTTCCTTTGTGCAAGTCATTTTCAGGTGGGTTGTGCTGAAAAGGAACACAGGTAATAAGGCCATTAATTTTTCATTTCCAAGACAGGAGTTCACTAGGAGAAGAGCAAATGAGCTGCGCTGTTCATCACTGCCTTCAATTGAAGATGAGTAAAGTGACTGGCCAGGGCAGCAGGCAGGTCAGCTTCTTCCAATCCTCTCAAACACTCAGCAAGCTACAGAAATTAAGCCTTCCTATTCCTGGATTG